CAGGTAGATCCAGTAATAAAAGCCATCAGTTAAAAACAGGGACACGGTTCTTGCTAAAGTAGCCTCCGATCACATTTGAACTCCAGAGTGCTAGGATACTTGGGTACTAAATTTTCTGAATGTTTTTATCATCAAGCTTGGACACTGGTGTTTGTACATGTTTGCTGCTTTGGTGCATCACTTCAGTTTTTGCAGATCTCGTATGCACACTATGGTTTCATATGAAGTCTCTTGTGGCACTTGAAATGTCAGCAGTATCTGTCCACAGGTCATTTTGAAAATATGCATGATGTAGTTTAAAATGGCATCTTCAGAGATGGTAAAAACAAATAGCATGTATAGAATTGTTAAATGATCATCTTTGCCTTGCAATTTGTTTGCCTTAATTTTAAAATTCAAAGAAGACATTCATTTCAGACTCGTGGCTTAAAAACACAGAAAGGATAATCACTTTGCAGCAATTTACACAGGAATCATCAAGTAGGCAAGGCTTAATCAAAGCTAAAAATAAAAATAAAAATAAAACCTTTAGGTGCATAATTTGTGAAGCAGGATTTCACACTGTCTTAAAGTATCATGCCACTCATTCTTTAAATTACATATAAAAAGAAGAAGAATGGAGAAATCTTGCAATGAAAAATTCTGGCAGATACCACTTTATTAGTTGAGGAACTTAGCATAACCAGTGATGCCATAAGGGATATTATGTGTCCTTGCCTCACCAATGTGACTCAGTAAGATAGTCAAAGCACCTATGTAATTTTCTTGCCAAACCTGTTATTGGATTTTAATCTCTAGAAAAAAATTGCACAAAACCAGCTTACAGAACATTTTAAACAATTACTGGCCTAGACTCTTCAAAAAGGTCAACTTACTAAAAGGAAATAAAGGAAAGGGATTGTCCTTTTCACAAGAGTCTAGAGGGGCACAAAACCCAAATTTTGTGCTTGTTTTTTGACTGAATAGTGAATTGCAAAAAATAGCAACAAATTTTTTGAAAAAAAATTGCAGTACATATACACAATGGAATATTATGCATCCATAAAGAACAAGCATATGAACTTCGCAGCAATGTGGATGGATTTACAGTCAATAATACTCAGTGAGCTATCACAGAAACAAAGAACAGAGTACCACATGTTCTCACTCATGAGCACACCCTGAACATTTACCCTAATACTATAAGAAAAGGATTGGCAGTAGCGGGATACTGTTGGGGGTGGGGAGAACACAG